ACGTTAATGTGCAGCTCTTTTGGGAGCTCTGCGTTCTTGAGGACGGGGAATATGCTACCGGGTCTTCATGTGCGCGAAGAGCAGAGGCAGAGGTCTCGCAGCGCTAAAGGAGTCTGTTGCTCGGGGCGTTCTCACTGGGGAGGGCTCTCTGCCCAAAGAGCTTGGCTGACGTTACTCCCAGCTTCCAGGGAAACTACTTTTTCCTGGCGCCTCCCAGTGGAGAAGCAGGAGCCAGCGCGCGCTGGGACGGCCCTCGTGTGCGTGCTGGAAGCTGTCCGAGGGCGGCCAGCAGGGAGGAGGACTGGGTGAAAACCACTGTGGGCTGTTCGTGCACCGTCACTGCAGCGCAGAGCCCCAGGCAGGCTGAGGGGCACGGAGCCCAGGGAGGAGACAGGCAGGCTGGCAGGACTGTGAGGAAGCAGGGCTTCCCAGAGAGCCAGCTGGGGTGAGAGCTGGGGTGAGGCTGGGGTGAGACACAAACACACATACTCACACCAGGCCCAGATATTCCAGAAAACAATTAGCCACCAGCATGTCTCTGAACTGTGGGAGGAAACTGGAGCCCCCAGAGGAACCCCATGTGTAAGGCGAGAACATGCAAACTCCACCCAGACAGTTCCCCAGAGCAGAGAGGCAAATCCTGACTACTGTGCCACCACACTGCCTGCTACACTAGCGTATCGCCTTGTAACCATCCACCGCCAGCTCCTTCATGAGTGAATCAGCCTACTGCACCTCTGGCTACAGGACAACACAACACATGCAAGTGGGCGAGAAAACGTCTCTCTCTGGCAGAGGGACTGCGTGAATCCTGCTCAGACAGTCCCTCTCTTTGTCTGTCAGGAGACTCCAGCCTGTATTCGTCCTCCGTCTACCCAGCCCTCGCTGTTGCTGGGGTCCTCTCCCTGTTGTTGGCCCTGGCTGCCGCCGTGGTGCTGTGGAAAAGAGGAATCTGTCAACAGCACACTGGTGAGCCTCCATTTCTATCTGTCTGTGTGTCTGTATTAACCCCTCTCTCTCTCAGTGCAGTGTTAATGTACTGGAGTGTCCAGTCAGTGTGTCTGTATGAACCCCCCTCTCTCTCAGTGCAGTGTTAATGTACTGGAGTGTCCAGTCAG